AAAAAAAAAAAAAAAAAAAAGTAACACATTCAGCCAAAAGCTATTTTCTACATTTTTCTTGATGCTAAAACAAATTTTCCAGATCATTTAGGTCACTTACTTACTTGATAATTCTCCTTTTTCTTCAAGTACCTGGTGATGGACGTGCAGCTCATGGTAGGAGGGCACCATTATGACATGGACCCTGAGGAGTATGTTTTTGCTGCCCTGGAGATCTACTTGGACATCATTAACCTTTTCCTTTTTATTCTTCAACTGAATGCACAAGCACGGTAGTTATGTGGCCTTTGTCAGCTGATGGTGAGAACAGAAGAAGGGCACTTGTGGACTGATACCTGGCTCAGACATGAACTTCATAAGCCCTTTTATTTAAAAATTACAGTGAGAATACTTTTTTCTTTCTTTACAAAAGAAACTATGCATTCAGTAGAGGATAGCTGTTGTTGTTATGCTTTTAATTCTATTGTCACATACCAAAACTTGCTGGGAATATTCCTAATTTTTATAAATTCAAAAGATGACTACCATAATTACATATTTACAAATATTTATAAGATACCCATTGCTTCGTTGAAGTTTTCCAGTTACTATATAAGCCTCTAAACACCTCTCTATATGAATAAAACTTATTACAGAAATTTAAATGTACTTCTTTTTCTCTCTCTTAGATTGGACATTCTGTAGGACTATTCTGGCATCTGATTTTTTGTTTTGTTTTTTGCCCCCCCCTCCCCCCGGTACTGGGGATTGAACTCAGGACCTTGAGCTTGCAAGGCAGGTGTGGTGCCACTGAGCTAATCCCCGGCCCTGGCATCTGATTTTTAATAATAACATAAAGTAGTAGATTCTTCCTTTCTCTTGTATTTCAGAGTCAAACTAGAGAGAATACTACTACTCCTAGGTAGGAATGATGAAGGATTAACCAAGTTAATCTACAAGAAAGGCTCAAGACAGAATTAGCTGTTCTTGTCCCATCATAGATGTACTGGTGGGCTTGACTCAGAGACCACTTCCTCTGATTTTCTGCAACTACTGAAGTCCTATTTTTTTGAAGTCCTATATTTTAAATTTAATTTTAATTATTGTAAAATATGCATAAATATACCATCATATCAATTTCCCATCATATCAATTTTAATTGTACAGTTCAGCACTGTTAAATAGATGTACATTGTTGTGCAACCAATCTAGAAACAGATCCACTTGTGATGGGCTTCAGGTGGTCTGGGAAAGGAACTAGAGAGAAAAGTTTACGTAGAGGGATGGTTGTACCAGATGGAGGGCTTACATAATCCCGAAAGGCTCAGGACTTCAGACTTTATCTTGTAGGCATATTTTTTTTAAAATTAAGTTTAGTGGTACATTTTAGGTATACGTTGTGATCACATTCATCATAGGGAATTTGTACCTATACATTATATATCTTGGTTCTTATTTTTTCCCATTCTCCTTCCTCCATTCATCCCCTCCACCCCTCCTTATTTACAAAAGCTTTGCTTCCATTGGCATAAGGTTTTGATTGCTGTATTATGGTGAAGGCAGGCTTTAGGAGAATTAGTCTGACTATAGTGGGTGGGTTAGGGTAGAGGCGATACTGGGGAGAGGAAGAGTAGTATACGAGCTAACACAATAACTCAGGCTTAAGACACTAAAGGACTAGGGGCTAAATGGGGCACAATGAACTAATCATATATGATCAAGATAATGGACAAAAGTGTTGATGCCTAACTGGAGGACTTGTAGAGCTGGAGAAATTAGGGATATCCTAGGTTTTCTTGTGGGCAACTGTTACTAAAATAAGGCAATCTTAAGAAGAGGGAAATGGTGTGGAGCATTGTGAGGCAAGGTGATACATGTAGGTTTCAAATTTTTCAATATTTAGAAACACAGGAAATGATAAATGGGCTGAGGTTTGGGAGCTGAAGTTCAGGGCTAGAGACACAGAATTGGGGACAATCACAATTTGTAGGGAACTGAAGCTGTGGCAACAGATGCACTTGCTAGGAATGAGGGAGAAGGAAGAAGTTCCCAAAGAATTAAATCTGCAAGCATCCATAATTGAGAGTTGGAAAGAAAAAAGGGTGTTGGTCATCAAAATGCGAGAATGGTGAGAGCATAAAATCATGAACACTAGCCAAGGCTTTCACAGTGTTGTGTGATGGAGCCACAGTTTATTTAGGGTTACGACATTCCAGGTCCTTTAAAAATAGCTAAGGGTTTAAAAAATTATCAAAAGATCAAAGCACAATAGCTAAGAACAAAGTGGACTTGACAATAACCAGATGGCTGACTCTCAGGGGCAGGGAAGCGCGGGTTCAGACTGCAGGGCAGCACAGTTGCTGTGGAATGAGAAGACACAGCCTGAGAGAGATCTGCCAGGTGCACCTGCAGAAAGAAGAGAAGCAGCTGGGCAGATAAAGATTGTGCCTTTGCTTCTTGCTTTTCCAGGTAGGGGAAAAATCAAAACAGAGAGATGGGAGGTGATGGTGTTGGACACACGAAGGGCATTACCGGAAGTCACCTGTGGCAGCCTCCTTTGAGGGGGAGGCAGGAAGGCATAGAACAGAGGAAAGAAGGAGGAAGGGGTTCTTTGAACTCATCCAGAGGGCTTAGGGTTTAGAGGACACTGGAGGTTTGACCTAGCTTCCCTGGGTTGTTCAAGAAAGGCAAGCAGAGGAGTATGACTGTGCCCTTCTCCTTTACCAAGAGTAATGAAGGAAATAACTAAATTTACAGATCTCAAGTAAGACCTTTGAATTTAGGTATACACAGCACCAGACACTGGAGTTTTTCATTACCTCTCATTTCACTCTATCCTACTGTGTTCTGGTTATAGTAACTCTCAGAAGGGGACGCTATTTAGCAGAGTTTCATGTCGTGTTTGTACTCCCTTATTACTACCAGAAAACTCCTGGAATATGAGAAGCAATGACTTTAAAGTCACTCAGAAATGAACCTTTGATGGCCCTCCAAAGCTCATAGATCTGAATATCTAAGCCAACATTACTGTGTATGTAGCTGTCAAAGGCTTTGGTATCAGTGCAACAGCAAATTCATTCATACAAGAAAGCAAATGCCACTAGAATGCTTGAGATTTTGCATATTCTCCTGAGGGCTGGGGATTTAGCGCAGTGGTTCCACCACCTGTCTCACAAGCACAAGGACCAGTACCAAAAAAAAAAAAAAAGTTTGCACATTCTCCTGGGCCTCAAGAAGATCTTCATGCACGTAATAGGCTGATTGCTTTCTTGACTTTTTGCTGTCCCAGCACAGCATCAGGCACTTTGGCTGTCTCAGCAATATTCCTACTTACATGTATACTATTGTGGGAGATCAAACAGGGTATGGTTCCACCAAACGGGTAGTGAATTGATTCAAAGAAATTTTGAGGCTTCTGTGACAAATCTTTTGATTTGTGCATTAAATACAGGCTCGGAGCAAGATACACCTATTAAGGGCAATCTAACAAACGGGTACATTGATTTGTTCTCAGTATTAGAAATTTGTGACTTCTGGGAAAATGGCCCAGTGGTAAGCAACAACACCTTAGCCTCTCTGAGATTCAGAATCCAGACACTGAAAAATAACTTGGGGGAGAAAATTAAAGTAGATCCCTAGGAAACAGGAAGGATCTGACAGGAAAATTAAAACCTACAGAGACATCGAAGAGACAAAATACAACACGGAGAAGGAAAAAGACAGTCTGCACTTTCTCCCTGACTCCAGGCTCGGGGCTCCCAGGAAAGTCCCCAGCTTTCACTTGGTTTCACTTGGTCTCCCCAAGTGAAAGTTGGGGATTTCAGAGAGCACTAGGGAGAAACACAATGGTGGAATGAATCAGCAGGCGTGTGGGATTCCGCTCCCAACTGAGTCCTTTGATGGGCAGCAGCTGGTAGAGCGACTCCAGTCCAAGCACCCACCATATCCCTGGAGAGAGTGCTTGGTCGGATGCCATTCTGAGGAAGGGATGATTGTTTGAACCTGGGACTCAGAGCAACAGTGGATGGCTTCACTTGAGGCCTCCCAGTATTATGTTTTCACAGTGACTGGGTGAGAGACAGTCACAAGAGATAGCCAGACTTAGGCTGGAAAGAGACCTGCTGAGGGCTGTAAGCTAAAGGACACAGGCCCTGCCCCCACAGCGGGAGGCCAGGCTCAGCCGAAACTGTTTCGATTTGAAAGTTGCAGCGCTGGTACCTTTGCCCTAGTCCTCCTATCTTCGGAGCCTGCATCAAGCACAGATATGGGATATGTCTACTTTCTTATCTACCAGCATGACCAGGACACATGTATTGATTTGGGGATTGGCCTAAAGCTGTAGATCCTGGAAGGAAACCACATGTTCAAAATAAATTGTGTGTGAGTGTATTTTTAGGGGTGTGTGTGTGTGTGTGTGTGTGCTTTCTTTTTCTTCTTTCCTTGTCTCCTCTCTTCTTTATCATTTTATTGGGGTTTGGGTAATTTTTCTTTGCCTTTTTTCCTTGTTTCTTATCTCATTTTCTTCCTTTTATTTTCTGTTCTTTTTAATTTTTCTCCATTTCTCTCTTATTTTTACTTCCTATATAATGCTTTTCTCCCTCTTTTGCTTTTATCTTCTATTTCTTGTCAGTTTTTTTTCCTATCTTGACCTAATTCCATAAATATCTTACTCTCCAATAAGAATCTTTGTACTGTGTGTTTCTCCTCATATCATATAGTTTGTTTCAAATTTTTACTCTTGTATCCCCCTGTTCTCAAAATATTTGTCTTTAATAGTATAATCATAAAGCTTTATTAGTCCTTGGATAGTTTACTGTATACAGTTACTGTTGAATTCTTTTATACTATCAGTGGAGGCTTAGATGTCATATTTAGAACATATTAGCATTAAGTCAATACCTGGTTGTGGAGTTCTTCTCTAGGGCCAAATTGGCTCCTATGATAGTACCTAGCTTGTCTTGGATGATACCACTATAGCTCATTTGCTTGATATTACCAGGGTTGCATAATTGTTGCTATTTCTTTGTAAGCCAACACTCATATTAACTTTGTGATTTTAACAGTATAAGAGTACATTTCCAGAGAATTAGGTGTTGAGCTAATTACACTGCATCTTCCCCTCCTAAATTAACCAAAGTGGTTGGATCTTGGGGCTGAGGTAAAGGACTATTGTTAGCCATGCCCAAAGTACATCACTGAAAAGCAACTAAAGAAATCTTTATACTAGCAAAAAGTCTTTGCACTATAAGTGTTCGCAAACTGCAGCACAAAATAAACATCACAGAACCACAAGACAAGGCAACAAGTCCAAAATACCCCACTCCCCTGAAGTAAATCTGGGGAACATAGGCAGGGAGGATAGCATAAGCCACACACTTGAATTACTGAAAAGGGTAACAGAGGAGGTTAGGAAACAGATCAGAGTGGTACTCAGCAGGATGACAGACTGTGGGAAGGGTAGGGGAAAGGTAATAAGGGAAAAGAAAAAAATATGAGAAAATGAAAAAATGGAAATGAAGTGTTTGTAAA